CCTGGATAACACTGGGGTGAAGTCCCTGGAGTGTGTGGCCTGAGGCTGGGGGTTCAGATGCAGCCTCTGAACCCCTCAGTGCCCAAATTTCACTGATTGTGGTATAACAGCAGGGAGTGAAAGCCCAGGGTGAAGGAGACACTGGGATAAGGAAGACAAAACCTCACGAGTCTTTAGGAGTCTCTCCTGCTCACCTTGTTCTTCTCTGAGCCTGTCCTGCGGAGGTGGCTGAGTGTGAGCCTGACCTACATTTACACCAGGGAACAGTGATAAGATGGGAATTCAGTGTTTGAGATCCTATGGACAGGCTGGGAGAGCTGGGGGTGCTCACCTGGAGACGAGAAGGCTCCAAGGAGAGCTCAGAGCCTCCTCAGGTGCCTAAAGGGGCTCCAGGAGAGCTGGAGAGGGACTGGGGACAAGGGATGGAGGGACAGGACACAGGGAATGGCTTCCCACTGCCAGAGGGCAGGGAAACCTCACGAGTCTTTAGGAGTCTCTCCTGCTCACCTTGTTCTTCTCTGAGCCTGTCCTGCGGAGGTGGCTGAGTGTGAGCCTGACCTACATTTACACCAGGGAACAGTGATAAGATGGGAATTCAGTGTTTGAGATCCTATGGACAGGCTGGGAGAGCTGGGGGTGCTCACCTGGAGACGAGAAGGCTCCAAGGAGAGCTCAGAGCCCTTTCCAGGGCCTAAAGGGGCCACAAGAGAGATGGAGAGGGACTGGGGAACACAGGCCTGGAGTGACAGGACACAGGGAATGGCTTCCCACTGCCAGAGGGCAGGGCTGGATGGGATATTGGGAATTAGGAATTGTTCCCTGTGAGGGCGGGCAGGCCCTGGCACAGGATGCCCAGAGCAGCTGTGGCTGCCCCTGGATCCCTGGCAGTGCCCAAGGCCAGGTTGGACACTGGGGCTGGGAGCAGCCTGGGACAGTGGAAGGTGTCCCTGCCATGGCAGGGGTGGCACTGGATGGTCTTTGAAGTTCCTTCCAGCCCAAACCATTCTGTGATGCTCTGGTGTAGAATCAGGTGTGCTGATTTCTGAGGCTGATAGCAAAGCAGTGGTTTTGAGATTATCAGGAAAATCTGCAGGACAGGAGTGTGAACATATTTCAGGATATAACTTAAAGTGTATTTATATTTTCCTGTGGAGGTGCCTTAGAACTTGGGTGATACTGGAGACTGGCCTTGCCAGCTTTGAAAGGGACCCTCAGCTCAGTGTTTGTGTAGCTCCCTGCCGGGTTTCAGGTGGACAATCCAGTTTGGAGACCTGTCCCTCACTGCCCTGAGTGTTTCTGGCCCTCTCATGATGCTGGATGCTCCCAGCCAGGGCAGAATATCACAATGTCACCTGTCCCTCCAGGTGTCCCTCCTGCCCTGCACGGCTGAACTGGGGCAGCTCTTGGGCTTCCAGGATTGCAGGAATGCTCTGGTCCCAGGGCTGGGCTGCTGGGAGTTCCCTGAGCTCCTGTGGATGCTCAGGCTGGAATTCTGCTGTGCCTGGGACATGGGGACGGTCTCAGTTCCCTGCTGGGTTCCTCTGCCTGATGCTGTTGGAGCTGTCAGACAAGAAGCTGAGTTTTAGGAGAAGGCTACCTACCCAGAATGGTGCAGAGCCTTGCTGGTAGAAAGAAAATTCTTCAGAGAAATTCCACGGGCATCCCTTGTGCTTGTTAAGTGTTGGGAGCAGTGTGTGAGTTTGGCTTGTGCATTCCTTTCTGTGTCCTGTTAATTTCCAGCAGAGCCACACAATTTTAATTACACCTCCTGTGTAATCAGCATCTTCCCAGCATCCACAGCTCAACCTTTGGCTGTTGGGATATCACCAAAACCACGGCTGTGGAGCTGGCAGACAAAACCCATTTTATTATCTCCTTTTTCACCTTCTTCTCTTTGCTCTGTAGATAAACCTGTCCTGTGTGCCCTTGCAGGGAGATGTGTTGTTTATATCCAGGGAGATTTGGTACGGTTGTTAAAAATTGGGAGCATCTTTCTTTTGCATAGCACTGGCATGCTGAGCAGCCTCCTGGAGCTCAAGTGTCCCTTCAGAAGTAGGAAGCAGGTCTTTAAATTATAATTTGCTGTTCTTTTATGGCACTGCAGTGTGTAGCTGCTCTGTCAGGCTGTAGAATCCAAGTCACTGAAAATCAGACTCCAGGAGTTTTAGACTGGAGCCCTTTTAAGGAACTGATGCTGCAAATTGTCTTGTCACACTCTCTGTGTTTAGATTTGTGGTGTTAAGGAGCTAAAGCAGCTTTTTCAGTCAAAAAAATGGAGAAATGCTATAAATAATATTTTAAAAAGAAAATCTTTCAAGATTTTTGCAAAACCTGTCATTGTGAATGTCTGTGATACAAGAGCTGTGCTGGGCTGGTGGGTAGGGTGGGTGATGGAGATGCCAGAATTTTCACCAGTCTGAAATTCCTATTATTCTGTTGAAATAAAAAAGGAAAGCATATATTCAGAGCAGCAACATCTGCTGGCTTGGACAAAACCCACGTGGGAATTGGGACCTGTGCATCCAGAGGAGGTTGGGCAGCTGAGATAGGGTCTTGCTGGCATCGTGGTAAAAGATATCACTGGTTTTAGAGTAAGGATTCTCCTCTCTAATGATCTTAGCACATCCACAGCAGCACTGGTGTTGCCTCAAGCCTGATTTTGTGGATAAGCCATGACATCTGTCCGTGGCTCCTGTCCTGCTCTGTCTGGAGCTGGGTGCCTGGGCTGGGCAGGGCTGCCTTGGGCTGGTTACTCAAGGCTTCCATGGAGTACGTCCTGGTGCTTTGGGATCCTGCTGCCGGGAAAGGGGACATATTGATGTTGATATGATGATGTTTGCTGTCCCCTGCCTGGGTGGGCGGGTGCTTTAGTCCTCCCTGTGGTATTTTGGGATATTTTTTCTCTCTGTTGTGTCCTGGCCAGGACTCTCCAAGGCTGTCATTCCCCCCAGCCTCCCATGCACAGCTCTAATTCTGGTGCTCCGAAGGCGAATCCCGGCGGTTTTTGCTCCCTCACAGAGCTAAAAAATCCCGGAGGCTCAGCTGCCTCCACCTCTGGGTGCTCCGTGTCCAGGTTTAACCCCCTCAGCCCTCAGCTCTCCAAGTGCAGCGCTCCCAGTGATCTGCCCAGAGATCTGCCGGGATCGCGGTACGCAGGAGCCCGGTGCGAGCCGTGAATAAGCAGATGCAGCTGACCACGAGCGCTCTGAAGGGCACCTCTGCTCCTTTCCCGTCTCTGGACACAGGAGGTTGCTGTTGGCTCCAGGCTGGGTCAGGTGCCTGCCTCGTGTGTGGGTGCTGATTGATAGGAATTGATTTCCCATGCAGATTGGCACGGGAAGGGAGCTGGAAGAGCAGCATCTCCCATTCCTTGGGTGGGAGAGTGAGGCTCTTTGAATGTCTGCAGCTCATTTACTGCAGTCACCTTGGAGACCTTTGCTTTGTGGAGAAGGGAAAATGATTTTAGCAGCTCTCTCAAGGTGGGAAGGGATCCCTCCTGGGAACACAGTACATGCTGCAGTGTGAAGGGATGACTTGGGAATGAAAATTGGGGCTTGAATCCTTTGGGGCCAACTCAGCCCCTGAGAAAAGTGTAACCACTGTGCACTGGATTTGAACTTACCCTCTGGTGCAGAGAGACATGAACTTAGATCTTTAGGAGGCACCAGGAGGATTTCATGTCCTCATGTCAGGCTTGGATATGGCCCTGGGATAAATCTGTCCCCCAAAGCAGTGTCAGGGCTGAGCAGGTGAGAGATGTCCTTGAGATGTTTGGGGGTTTGGAGATTTGAGTTCCTGGTCAGGCAGAGTGGCTTCCTTCTGTGTAGCAAGCAACCTCAGGAATCAGGTTGGCAGTGGGTTTCCCTGAATTGCTGCCCATTCTTCCCTGGCAGGGACCATATCTCTGTCCTGTAGTGAACTTGATCACCAACACTTTCTGAGAGTAGCCCTAGGCTGTGCCTGTAAAGCCTCCCTGCTCTGATGTTCTTGTGGAATTACAGAGTCACTGAGGTTGGAAAAACCCTCTGAGATCGTTGAGGTCAACCATTAACCTGCCACCGGCAAGGCCACCACTACCCCATGTCCCGAAGTGCCACATCCACATGGCTGCTAAATCCCTCCAGGGATGGGGACTCCAGCCCTGCCCTGGGCAGCCTGCCAGTGCCTGACCACCTTTTCCAGGAAGAAATATTCCCAGTATCCACTGTGAGTCTCCCTTGGCCCAGCCTGAGGCCGTTCCCTCTCCTCCTGTCCCTGTTCCCTGGAGCACAGCCCGACCCTCCCGCCTGTCCCCTCCTATCAGGAGCTGTGCAGAGCCACAAGGTCCCCCCTAAGCCTCCTTTTCTCCAGGCTGAGCCCCTTTCCAGCTGCCTCAGCCTCTCCTGGGGCTGCAGCCCCTTCCCAGCTCCGTTCCCTGGCCTGGACACACTCCAGCCCCTCCAGGTCTCTCCTGTCAGGAGGGTCCCAGAGCTGCCCCAGCACTGGAGGTGCCCCAGCAGTGCCAGCTCAGGGGACGGGCACTGCCCTGCTCCTGCTGCCACCCCAGGGCTGGCACATACAAGGTCTGGGCACACTTGGGCAAAAACAATGATGGAAGGGATGGAAAGGAGAGGGTATAAAGAGCCACAGAATGCTGGATTCTGGAGGTGGAACAACTGAGAGAAGGGACAAAAGCAGCAGTGGAAATGAGATGAGAAAGCCAGTGTTGTGTAGCTGGAACATTGCTTTTAGAGCAGCCAGAGGCAGTGGACACGGTGGGATGTGAATGTGTAAAGAATGATGGGGTGTTGCTCCTCCAAGGGAACAAGCTCCATCTAAACACCTCAGCCTGTCCTTGTTTCTCTGTCTGAGGGCCTTTTCCAGCTTTAGTGGATTGCACATGAGTGCTGCCAGCTCGGGATGTCTCCACAGGTCTGTGCTGTGCAGGAGGGTGCCTTGGAGGTGTTTTGGGCTCCGGTACAGTGGCACTGACCCTCCCTTGTCCCTGTGTTCCCGTGCAGGACACAGGCAGAGATGGCCCACACGTGCCGGGGCACCATCAACCTGTCCACGGCCCACATCGACACGGAGGACTCGTGCAACATCGTGCTGTCCAACGGGGGCAGGACCTACCACCTGAAGGCCAACTCGGAGGTGGAGAGGCAGCGCTGGATCACGGCCCTGGAGCTGGCCAAGGCCAAGGCCATCCGCATGCGGAACAACCAGTCAGGTACGGGGCACCCCGAGCCTTCCAGCTCCTGCTGCTCTGCTCTCCCCGCTCCTCTGTGCGGGTTAAATGGTGCAGAACTCACCCAGGGAGGGTGTCATGCATAGCTGGAGGTTGCTGATGGTCTCCCAGGGACACAAAGGGTTGGACACAGCCCTGCTGCACCTCATCTCAGCTGCCTGGGCAGCTCTGAGCAGGTCTTCAGAGCCGTGGGAATGTCTGTGAGCTGTGGAGAAACAGTAACAACGAGCTAATGATGCTGCTTCTGGAAGGCAGAATGAGTGTCTTTCTCCTGGAGACTTCGTGCTGGGAATGCTCTAAATGCTGTGCTCAGAGGGCTGAGCACCACAGGGGTGGTGTTGCACAGCTTAGGGAGGTTTGGTGGATGAGTGATACAGTTAATTTAGTTGAGTTGTTTCTGTGTGCATCTCTGCTGCTGCCCCTTTGATGTAGTGTTTATTGGTGTAGGTTTGGGACAGATACACTTTGTAAAGCTGTCAGAGCCCTGTGCCTGGTCTGCAGCTCCTCCCCGAGGTGACATTGTTCTGTTCTGTAATGGGTCAGTTAGGCTTGGCAAACAGAATATTTTAGAAATATTTCAATGATTCTGTGAGTCTGTATTTTAATGTCTATGACTTTTCTGGGATTAACATTGGGTTTTCTTCTACAGGCAAGCACAGCTTCAAGCTGCAGTAAACAAACTTCAGAAATGGAAAAGAGAATGCTCCAGGGAGACCTTAAAGCACCTTCCAGGGCCTAAAGGAACTCCGAGAGAGATGGAGAGGGACTTGGGACAGGAGTGCCAGGACAAGGGGGAATGGCTTCCCACTGCCAGAGGGCAGGGATGGATGGGATATTGGGAATTAGGAATTGTTCCCTGGCAGGGTGGGCAGGCCCTGGCACAGAGTGCCCAGAGCAGCTGTGGCTGCCCCTGGATCCCTGGCAGTGCCCAAGGCCAGGCTGGACAGGGCTTGGAGCAGCCTGGGATGGTGGAAGGTGTCCCTGCCCATGGCGGGGGGTTGGACTATATGATATTTGAAGTCCCAACCTAAACCATTCTGTGATTATAAGTGCTGTGAACTGTCTGTCCCTTAAAATTCCACTCTGGAATATACAGATACTGACAGAGAGCCCAGCTGATCCAGGAGAAGGGGGAAGTTTCTGGGCACACTTGTTTAGGGTGGGATACTGTGCTGGTCCTGGCTACACTGAGGTGGCAGTGGGGGCTCTCGAACCCTTCAGCTGGGTGGGTGTGTGGAGATGGAGCTCCTCGAGAGGTGGGTGTGGGAAAAGATCTCCTGGAGATGTGGTGTGTGGGAAAGGATCTCCTGGAGATGTGGTGTGTGGGAAAGGATCTCCTGGAGATATGGTGTGGTCTTTACCTTCCCTTTGGGACCGTGGGGCTGTGGTAGTGCTGGGTCAGGATGGAAGGGTTACAGGGCTGTCAGCCACGCTGCCTCCTGAGTCAGGCACAGCTATTTTGGTTGTGTCTGCCCATAAAAATAGCAAATGCAGAGGCTGGTTGTGCTGGGGCTGCAGCCCTGCTGAGCCCTGGGCTCAGGGCAGTGCTGTGGATGTGGCTGTGCTGCCCCGAGGCTCTGCTGACTCAGCTGTGATCCAGGCCACAGAGCTGATGGAACAGAAAATCCACAGCAGACTCCTGCTTTTCTAGACTTTCCTGATCTGGGAATCTTGTTCAAGGGAACAAGACACTCTGTAAATGGGTGCTGAATCCTGAGCACATCACTGAATTAGTTTATGCCTTAATGTTCACCTGGCTGATGGTTTGTGCCAATTAGAGATCTTTTAATTATAGTAAAGAGTGACTGTAGGTTTGGCTTGAATCAAAATAGAATTCCTGATGTTGTGAATCTATAAGCACTGGGGTGGATATTTACAAGTAAAGGGAGGAGGGAGGTGGATATTTGCAAGTAAAGAGGGACTTCTACAGCAAAAAGGATTTGCTGTAGAAGTTCCCAGTCCTGCAAGGCTGCTCATGTGCAGAATTGTCTGAGTTGCCTCCTGAGGGATCCCCAAAACCTGTGTGTTCCCCAAGGGCTGCTCTGCAGAGCCCAGGTGAGCTCCAATGGGTGCAAAGGGTGGTGAGCAGCTGAAGGGATTTGTGCCCTCAAGGAGGAGCATCCATGGTTCTGGGAGGCAGAAGGTGGGGAGAGGGTGGCAGAGGGGGCAGAGGAGCAGTTCTGTGTCTGATGCTGTCTGTCCTTCTTGGGAAGGACACAATGAGTATCCTTGTGGCCATCTGTGCTCATGGGCACTGCCTGCTGCCCTGCCTGCTTCACTGGCCATGGCCTCCCAACCCTCCCAGGGGAGATTTTCTTCCCAATATCCCATCCATCCCTGGCCTCTGGCAGTGGGAAGCCATTCCCTGTGTCCTGTCCCTCCATCCCTTGTCCCCAGTCCCTTTCCAGCTCTCCTGGAGCCCCTTCAGGCCCTGCAAGGGGCTCTGAGCTCTCCCTGGAGCCTTCTCCTCTCCAGGTGAGCACCCCCAGCTCTCCCAGCCTAGCTCCAGAGCAGAGGGGCCCCAGCCCTTGGAGCATCTCTGTGGCTTCCTCTGGACTCTCCAGCAGCTCCAGGTCCCTCCTGTGCTGGGCCCCAGGGCTGGGGCAGCTCTGCAGGTGAGACAGAGGAGCAGAATCCCCCCTCCCCTGCTGCCCACGCTGGGGGCTCAGCCCAGGGCTGAGGGGGTTTCAGGGTTGGGGCAGGTGCAGCTCTCACTCAGCAGCACCCCAAAGTCCTTGTCCCCAGGGCTGCTCTTGAGGAGTTCCTCTCCCAGTCTGTGCTCACGGCTGGGTTTGCCCTGACCTGGATGCAGGACCTGGCACCTGGACTTGTTGAACCTTGTGAGTTCTCCTGGGCCCTCTGCAGCTTTCCACCCGCTGGATGTCCCCATCCTTCTGTTGTGTCAGCTGCACTGCTCAGCCTTGAATCACCTCAGACCTGCTGGAGCCTGGGCTGGAATTCCGTTCTCTGTTTCTGCAGGAGTCAGTGATCCCCCAGTGCTGCCAGGGTGTTGGAGATTTGATGAGTCGGAGGACTGGCAAATAGCTGCCCGTATTTTCACTGCTGGGTCACCTTTTTGGGGTGGATGAAAAGGGTCTTTTTCCCCAGAAGTTCTCCTGAGTTGAACAGCTGTGGAAGTGTTTTTAACTCGGCTGCTGTGCACCCACAGGGGCCATTTCACAGGACTGCTCTTCATGTCTGTTTTTAACAGCAAAACCTGTCCCCAAACCAAGGGGAGAACATGCTGTTCTGTGCATGGGGGAGCTCTGGTTTCCCCTCTGCCCAGTGTGGAGTCAGGAGTATTTTGGTAACGAGCTGTGGCCTGGGACATTGGTACTGGGAGATGTGATCTGGGCTCCCTGTCCTCGTCCTGCTTCTCAGGGAGAATGGGATGAAACCTGCCCTGGGAGAAACCTGCCCTGGGAGAAACCTGCCTTGGGAGAAACCTGCCCTGGGAGAAACCTGCCCAGGGGAAACCTGCCCTGGGAGAAACCTGCCCAGGGGAAACCTGCCCTGGGAGAAACCTGCCCAGGGGAAACCTGCCCTGGGGGAAACCTGCCCTGGGGGAAACCTGCCCAGGGGAAACCTGCCCAGGGATTGCAGGTGGATTAGTGGCAGAAAGTGAAAGTGGAGCTGAGCTGCTGGCTTAGCTCGCTCCTCAATTATCACATGTGCTTAATTCCTCTAAAACACATGTAGAGTGTGACAGGAGGACAGGACAGTCCCAAACCAAGCTCTGCTCAGCCAAACGTGGCATTCCTGTTTCTAGGTGGGATTGCAAAGTGTTGGTAAAGTTGTAGTAAACTCAGTTAGTCCTCATCCATCACCAGCTTCTATCAGTACTGGCTGTGGCCCTGTGCTGTTACCTGGCCTGAAAATCAGATTTCTGCATTCACCTTCTGTATTTGGTGACTGTGGCTGCTGGATTTTCTTTAAACAGATACAAAAATAGATATAAAACTATCCTTTCTTTTTAGAGCAGTATCATGACTTCCAGGAATTTTATTTATGAGTGCTGAATATATGACTGTTTTCTTGGCTCTGTAATTAGGGGGTCTTTGGAAAAGTGTGCAGAGAAGGATGGAAATCTGTTCCTGGTATTTTAAACACTAGGAAAACTCCCCAAAATGGACGTGGGCTGCTCGGAGAGGGAATTGGTGACTCCTTTTGGTTCCCTGCTCAGGGATCCCCAGCAGCAGAGAGGATGAAAGCTGTGTGTGATTCCAGTGTTCACCTGATGAGGAGCAGATTCTAGGCTGACAGAAAGGGATTTTGGTGTTCATGGTGCTGAAATCCAGGAGTTCAGTGGGCAGGTCAGTGCTGGTGTCTGTGCCAAGAACAACTCACCTGCCAGCCACTCTCAGAGGTGTCTGCATCCTTTGGCTGAGGCTGCAGTCAGTGCAGCAGAAGAACTGGCAATTGATAATCAGAGTGGAAAAGAAGGGATGCAGGTTTGCTGTGTGTGCTGCTGGGATCTCATCCCTGGAGATGCCCTGTCAGTGGCTCACAGGGTTTTCAGCAGAACTTGAAAAGAAAATCCAGACAACCAAACAGGCACAAGATTAACCAGAGAAATAAAATCTCCTCCGACAAGGGAAGGAGTGTGATGGAAAGTAAATTTTTCATCTGGGAGAAGGACAGCTGAAGTTGCCACATGAATGATGGTCAGTGATACAGGAAATGTGCTGGAGCTCCAGGAGAGGCTGAGGGAGCTGGAAAGGGGCTCAGCCTGGAGAAAAGGAGGCTCAGGGGGGACCTTGTGGCTCTGCACAACTCCTGACAGGAGGGGACACCCCGGGGGGGTCGGGCTGTGCTCGAGGGAACAGGGACAGGAGGAGAGGGAACGGCCTCAGGCTGGGCCAGGGGAGGCTCAGGGTGGATTTTGGGGAAATTCCTTCTCTGAAAGGGTGGTCAGGCACTGGCACAGCTGCCCAGGGCAGTGGGTGAGCTCCCATCCCTGGAGGGATTTAACAGCCATGTGG